AAGAAACTGTATTACAAAAGCTATATTCCATTAAAGAACAAGAGAGCAATGTCTTGCATGCTGGTCACGACATACTTCATTTTGCTGATTATCAAACACTAGCAAGAGACCCATTATCAAAAGAGCACTTCTTCTCTGTAGAACTTAGCATTAGCATGCCACGTAAAGTCACCTACCCTGCCTGGGCACGCTGTAGACAGTTTGTGAAGAGACTGTGCCAGATGGATTCTAGGATTGTTCACCATTTGACCTACAGGATCATGTTCTTTTTTCCCAGCAAAGGCTAGCTGAGAGAATGCAGTCTGATATCCTGGAGTATCTTCTATGTCAATGAAGTGTTCTTCATCAGGGATAGTGTCATCCTCAGGCAGTTCAAAGAGGCCAATGAGGGCCTGCAGCAAAGGAGTCCTACACGTAAAGAGCAGAGGATAAAATTGCAGTGCTTCAAATGTGTTAGGACAGGGTCTATTTTACAAGAATGTTCAAATTACTTTGAAACCTTTACAACTTAGCCCTTGCAGGTACTTGCTTAGGTACTGAAATTCTAAGTGCCCAGTCTAAGCTGGACTTGAAGAATTGTGGACCTGTGCATTTTACTGGCATAAGGTAGTTGCTCGTATTAAAAGCACGAACAACATATTTATTTTTTGTCAGGTCAAATTGTCATGAAACATACCTACAAAAAAAAAAAAAGCAATTCTTTTCCAGATTACACTTTTTCTCCGAGTACATTAAAAAACAAAGGTCGAGTTCACAGATCCAGCTATCGTCATTAAATTCAGGCTACCTGACATCCCAGGTTGGCTTACAATCTTCCCATATAGCTTTCCCCAAAATTCTGCAGTCAAGCTAAGATCTTACAATCTCTCTGTCAGGTCAGAGGTATGCTCAGGTCTCCTGACTAGTAGAACAGTTGTAAATAGAAACAGGCCTACCTTTTCAGAAAGAATACAAGCTAAAAGAAAGTAAGGTATGTTATTAAATGCAGTCCTAGCTAGCCCAGTCAGTGCTATCTCCATCACAAAAATCTCAAATGAGTTCTGGCATCTGCTCTGAAAATACAGTTTTATTTGTTGAGAAAAGGAAGTGGTATGAAAAGCCTGAAACTCAGCCTAAAGAAGTCACAATGGAGTTCATTTGAAGAATGTATTTTGATGATAACTCCCATTTTCAAAAAAATCAAATAGCCTCATTAATAGAACTTAAAGGAGCGTTCTACATACCACAGCTTGGTGTACTCTGTGTCCATCATAGGAGGACATTCTGTTAATATTTTTGTAATGCCAACAGCACAAATTTTCTTTTCAACTTGTCCGGACACTTTCTGGATTTCAGGAATTATAATTTTCTCCAGAACCATTCCAAACATCCTATTATGACATTAAAAGAATAAGTGTTAGAAAGCCTTATCAGCTTTATGGTGACAAAAGAAAACCAGAAACAATTTGAATCACCAGAAAAAGAGAAAACACCAGGTAGTTTGTTAAGATGCTGCTCTGTTGCAGTGGATGCCTAGTAGAAATTTGAGCATGTAAACTTTTCACAAAGGTAAAATGAATAAAAACATCCCTCTTTCCTTTTAATGACCTACTTAGGAGATTAATATCTTGAACTATCAATGAGGAACTGTGGGGAGGACATCAGGAAAAGAAAAATTGCTAGACAAATAAATCAACCACATTAGAAGAAACATTTGGCTAATCAAATTAGTGACAAATGCAGTTTGCGATTTTAGCTAACAGACACAACTATTTCCTACTGTAAGAGATAAAAATTACACAGCAGTCTTACTTTGGCTGTATGCTGTCAAATATTTCCTGCAGAGCTAATGCCCCATATTTTATGCAGTACAAGTTAATGAAGACTAGGAAACCTGTAACAAGAAAAAGGTCAAATTAAAACTCAAGAAGAAAACAAAAGAATAGCTTTAGAGTCAGCAGCAAAGTACATTCTAACAAGTTTTTTCAAGGGGTTAGAAACAGCAATCTTTGTAAATGTTCAGTTTTAGTGAAGTACGTTAACTTGGTACCTTGAAGTTGTCCAAAAACTGCTGACCTTTTCACATACCACACCACCCTAAAACATGGCGGTAAGACAACTAGGACAAGACTCAGTCCTTTTTTCCCTTTATAGCAGTTACAAAGCATTAGAAAAGCCATTTGCAATTTTTTCAGATCAACGACCAAAATAACTCTTCAATGCTTTTAGCCAAAAACTTCATGCAATGCAGTTTTCCAGATCTGCTGTGAATCCCTTTGCCCTGCCTTTGTACCAGAACACAGATGCAATGCATTAACAGCACCACCTAAATTTTGTTTGTGGAAGACCATTATAAGCAGTCCTATCATTCTGGCTCCTATCAGGTGGCATTAACCAGACTGTATAGGATTAAGTAACAGACATTCCATAATTTGTGTAGCAATAGTATCATTAAAAGAATGTAATCAGTATGACAATCTTTTACAGCATGAATAACCAGAATATGTATTTCAATAATTCGTCACAGCTTTGCTAGTTTAACATAAAACCTTATCAGTAACTTAAGGCAGAATGACACAAATGCATATAATATTTAACAGTAATAACACACAACCACATGTAACAAAAGGAAGTGTGGTCATTGTTACTGTGTTGTGTGAAAGTTTGCTGGTATTAGTTGAAGATTAAATGGAAACACTTTCAGATAATTAATGGTATCACACAGAGTAAGAACAAAAGAGGAATACACAAGTCTTTTCCCTTATTTAGTTCCATTCCTTCCGTTTCCATGAAGTAAGTGTCACCTGCTGGGGCAACTGCCCTATATACCACCCTTGATTACACAAATAATTTGTGGCAAGTCACTGATGTTAGGAGTCACTAGGATCCCTTCATCCGCACAATCACAGGACATGCTAGGATACATATTCAGTACAGCTGCATGTTCTGAACTGTTTGCATCACTGGCACTGAAGCTTTTCATATAGCAAGGAACTTACTTTTAATAAATTTTGTTGTTTTGGAATTTTGAAGTCTTTGGAATAGTAGAATGAAGATCTGTTTCCTGTACTGGTCAACTGATTCACTGGAAATTTAAAACAATAGTTATTCAATTCACACTAGGATTTTACTAATGTCACTTCACAGAAAACACATAGAGAATGGTTCAAATCTGTTTTACTGATAAATGTGACATTTTTCAGCTGTTAACCATTACCTATGAAGTGTATAAACATACCAAATATTAAAGCCTACAGAAGTTAGATTTGAACGTAATTTCAACTCATACTCACGGAGGCATATGCTCTATAATACTGTTTAGAAGATAGAATCCTTGATGGTCGTTAGCTTTAGAGGCAATCAACTTCTGGAACACACCTAACAATCCAGGCTGTAAGCAAAGCAAACATAAAAGTCTCTACAACAGTTCTTCATATGTGACCTACCAAGAAGTTGGTCGCTACCATCTAACACATACACTAAGGCAAGAGCTTTCATAACCTAAAACAGGATTCTGTTTCTGCACTTGAGGAAGACAGATTTCTATCAGGACCGAGTGTATGCAGAATAAATCTCCCACTGACTTCACTAATCCTCAGATCTCCCAACATTTTGGCTCCTCCTCACCCACTCTTCTCATGACTGTTTTGAACAGAACCTCTGAGAGTTTTCCTGATCCACAGTGTTCAACATGAGGCAAACAAGACAGCAAAACTGTGGAAACTTACCTGCTTGCAAAAACTAAGTGCAGGAATTTTACATCTTAATTGACGAAAGCATGACAGCCTAGGATTTATCTTACCCACATAATGGAAAAGCATCCAAAAAGCCTGCATTTGTAGTATTTTTTGTCCTTCTACATAAGCACTGTTAATTTAAAGTACAAGCATAAATTCTGCACAAATCCAGCTGTTCACTAAAGGAAAAAGTTCCTCAATTTTTAATCTTAAGTCAACATGTCTAGAGGCATACACTGTGACTACGCCAATCCAACTTACAATTTTGTCAGCAGCAGCACTTGCTATCGTATTGGCACCCCGCTCTAAATAAGCCTGCAGGAGTCGGACCAAAGGAGGAATATTTCCTGTCCTTTCCCACAATACTGGCTGAAGTAGAAAAGAGTGCCATATAGGACGATGGGATTTCATTTTTATGCATTTCTAGGAGTAGGGACATCACTTGAAACACATATGGAATGAACTCTGGAAAAGAAATGATGATAGTTACAAATCCAGCAAATACGGTCACTGTCAATTCCTAGAAACCAGGTATCTATTGACTGAACCTACAATTTTATGATGTTAACACACAGATAACAAATAAAACCTTGGAGAAACATACCAACTTTCCAAATTTAATTATTCCAAAAATTTGCGAATGTATATATACAATTTCTATTTCTTCTATTTGTTAATGTTTCAGAACAAGGAAAGTAAACTACTAGAAACAAGGCAATAATTAACAAGAGTAGTAAGAGGCTTTGGAGTAGTGACTGTTACATATTTTAAAAACTCAGTTTGTTTTAAAAGTTAATACAGTTGATGTACCCTATGGAAGAACCCAGACGCTTCCTAAAAGTGTTTATCAGGACTGTGAACATGCTGCGTTCTCACTTGAATTTCATGTGTTACAGAACACCTGCCATGAGGTAAATCATAGCAACCAATTATAGTAGAGAGAGAGAGCACAAGCACTTACTGATTTTAATTTACCTTGCACATCATTCTGTAGTATCTCAGTGAACACCATAAACAAAGCCTCTTCAAAGCTTCCAACAGCATCAGGGTTCGCTTTGCATGTTATCCTTATTGACAAGCATATCGATTCAAACATGTAATGGTTAAAGTGAGGTTTGCTTGGATTCTAAAAACAAGTCATAAGCAGATAAATCAACCCAAACTTGCAGCAAAGCCACTTATTTAGCAACACGCATTTTTTATTTCAATGAAAGTCTAAAGTAGCAATTGAGAATAAGGATACTTAAGGACTTATTTGTTAATACGCTAATGAAATTAATTCCATACATAAATGTAAACAAAAACCTTTAAAGCATAAAGGAGGGGTGTTTTTTAGAAACATTTTAAAGACAACAAGTGGTTTTCAGAAGCTCTACATAAACTAGCAAGAAGTATCACGAAACAAAAGCTGGAAAAAAATATTTTTCAATCCTGTAAGCGTAGTCAATTATTGAACACTTCTGATACCCTGTAGCTAAGTTTAAACTACACATCGTAGAAGTTTTTTGCACAGTCGATGAACGTATTCTAAAGCATTCCCTAATGGTGATGTTCAAGCATATTAGCCCAGCCTAAACAAAAAACTAAGAGAATTTTACCCACCAAAAGTAGGAGGATAATTTATTTAATTTCATCCCAAATTTCAGTGCCTAAATTTAACATGAGCCTCAGAAGCTTCATGGACGAAGAATTAAAGGAGTTGCGATTCTGTGAAAAACATTATTGTAATGGTGGCCTCTGCCCAAGCAAACATTTATACTGGAAAAAATAGCATTACATAAAGATTTTATATGCTGTTTCCAAATTTCAGATGAGAGCTGGGGAGAATGATTTGAAAGTATGTTCTAAAAGGAAGACAGTCACTGGAAGGTTGTTTTATCTTATTTTAGTCAGAAAATATTGAACAATTTACAGTATTCTAACCGAATACAACTGCAAGGTATACATAAATCTTTAGAAAGGCTGCTCTAAAAGGTAAAAAGTGAACATTTTGCTTAGATAGCCTGTTTCTTTACCTTACTGACAGCCAGCAGTTTCTGTGTAAGCTGTGTGATGACAGAAGGGATGTATGGAATTATGGATTCCTGTAGCAGAGAAAAACTCCTCATGATGGCTGCAAATAAATTGAAAGTATTATCTTCTGGAGACAAACAGACACTTCTGTCATCCATCACACCCCTAAATCCTTTACCTTTTACTATTAAATCGGATCCCAAGGAATTAGGTACGGTAAGAAAGAGCACCTGCTGCAAAGCAATCAATCTACAGTCATGGCAAGGGACAAAGCAAAGGCTTATTATCCCCAGTCTACAGACAGAACATAGAAAATTAAGCAATTTTGCAAAGATCATCATTGATCTTGGGCAAGTCTCAAATCTTGGCATGCTATTAGCCATAACCAACTCAGACCTCCTACTGACACAGCCCAGGTAGCTGTCCTGACTACAAAGACTACCATTTGAGATATAATTTGTCACAATACCGTCACGTTTAGTGTTTCTCTTCGGTGCCATAAATTTAGTCAAAGAGGACTTAATACAGCCTGGTAAATAACTGCAGGCTGCGCACCCCTGTTCAGCATGTTTGCATAAACTATGTTTTTCAAATAAAAATTTCAGTAGCCTGTAACCCTAAGTCTTTACCTCAAGCTAACAAAGTTACTCTTCTATTGCAGAACACATAAAGCATTTACATTTACCTTTCATAATGTATTCATTTTCAGATGAGCCAGGAAGTGTCAGTGCTTTAAAAAGGTTTGTCAATAGTACTTCTACAAAGGGTGCCATTTCCGCAGCTGTAATGCTGTTAAGTAAAAGGCAGCTCTTTAACAATGAGAGATATTCACAAGCTTCAAGCATTTTACAGTATTGTAATACTAAGAAATAAAAGGTCCCTTACAGATATTTCTCATCCCTAATGGATGAAACCTATGTAGCAATGAATTTATTTCTGCTTGAAAACTTACAGGGTGGTATTATTTGTCCCCCTCATGGTAAACAGTCTTTCAAGAGCATGGGCTGCATAAGTATGGACTACAATACTTTCTGCTTGAAGATGACTGATTAAGAGAGGAATAGATACCAACAGCTGTTCTTTAGGTACCTACAAAAATATAGCAACAAATTATACATGTTACATGAAAATACAGATGGTTCAACACTAGAGCATAACCATTGAGGCCTTTAGCTACAAACAGAAAGTTGGGCAGAGGGAGAAAGCTTGGAAGGCTCCTCCAGCTGCTAAATCACACCTTGACAACCAAGAGGTACCTATTACCATCATCGCCTGTGTACTTCTCCTGAACATCAATGTTACATCTGATTTTTCAGTAAGCACATATATTCCTGACGTATAGTTCTTTTTTCATTTTACTTTGTCTTAATGGGCAATTAAAAAATATCAAGCTTAAAAAAAAAATCACAGATATTTCATAAAGTATTAATAAAGGTAATTAAAATTTAGAAATAATATTCAATATCTTACTCAAAAATCTTACAGCACCTCACAAATCAGAACAGGTAAAGAACAAAGTTGCTATACTCTCTTTAACAACTACTGCAATGATACGAGCAATCAAGTATATTTAGACTAACGTTCAGTTGAAAAAGTCTGAGTGTGTCACAGAACTAAGCATGCCTTAAGATGTTCAATGCTCCCACAGCACATGGATAGCATGCAGACTACATGTTAATTGAATATTTATAACAATATAATTTACTTCCAAAACTAAAAATTCAGCATGAAGTGTTATATATGACTACCAAACACCTACTGAGTTAACATATGGCCAAGTAAGATAAATTAGGCTTGGCAAGTATAAAGTAACAAAATACAATATGTTTTTACCATAGAAGAAAAACTTACTTGGTTTCTAAAAATCATGATATATTTGATACCATCTGCCTTTAGCACAGGGAATTCATTCACTGCAATAGAAACATACACGAATTTTGTTGATACTTTTCATATAAATGTGATTACTGAACATATACTATTTATAGAGGTGACATTAAGGCATGATTTTTCCCCGCAAAAATAATACACATAATGTTTTTCTATGTTGCTTAGTTTCTGCATTTCTGTATGGGCCCTGTTAGAGGCTTTAGGTACAAATCACACCCCAGTACCATCACTTGTACAGTCCAAGTCTTTCACATGAAATTTCCCCTTCTGGCTCCAATTTTAACAGCCTCCAATTACCTGTTCCAAGACAACCCACTATGTTCCCAATATCAGACCATAATTGCTGAAGCGTAAAATAAATTATGTGGCTTAAATATAGGCATCCATAATCTCATCAATATCAGCTGACACAGGCTACAAGCTAGCCTTCAGGGTTTTGTACAGCATAGAAGTTTGCCACAAGGTCTGAAATACAGAAATCAAATTACTTTGATTGAACAAGTTTAAGCACGTAACTGATAGCAACCCTGTCTGCACATGCTCTGATCTTGCAGACAGCGTGTGGTAATCCACCTTTGTTTAAAAGCTCATTTGTTGCTGGCCAAACAAATCTGAATCACTTCCCACAAGCCAGGTGTTAACAGCCTTCCTGGAGATTATGCTGACACATGGGTGCTTGAGCCTTCAGAAGCAATGGTCACTGTCAAGGTTGTAGATACATCACAAAAAATGCCATACCAAAAGTAACATTAACTTACCACTAGCAGACTTCAAGTCAGGTTGAATGTGATTCACAAAGAATTCTGTCAGATTAACAAGTTCATTGGCTTGTGTTATTCCATGCTAGGAAAAAAAAACAAACCAACCGTTTTCAGATGGTTGACGTTCAGCCAGTTTTCTTACTCATTTTATGTGCTTTTAATAAAAGGTATCTAAAGCGCGCACACATCTGTTGAGATTGTTGAAACTGCATCTTTAGCAGAGAGTCATCCAATTTCTTTTTCTTAATGCTTTTAGGGTCTAGGTTTCAGCTGTAGCACTACTGAGGTTCAAAGTTACCAGCTCTGAGTTGAGGAACAGCTGCTTGTAACACAGTAAAAATCAACTAAAATGTTAGATAAAAAATATCAGCATCTTACTAACATGATACTTCTTTCTTGTGGTAGGCCTTTTATAAAGGAAAAGTTTAGGACTCAAACTCCCATCCTGAATTAAAGCAGCAAAATAATGACTACTTAGTTTTCTCTTGTGAAAAATGCAACTAATTTTTGTAACAGGATTTTCAGACAGGTATTTATCAATCAAATATTCTAAGTGATGTTATCCCATATTTGCCACTAAATAGCACAGAAAAAGAAAGATGTACAACTTTGCCATTCTCTAATTGATAGAAGACCGGGTCACATTACGCATCACTATTATTAGCAATTGCTGTGTAGGACTATACAACAACAGTTTCAAGAAAAGACTGAGAACCTTCAGCAAAATTGCACAAAGATGCTCTACAACATGTTTTACTATGTTTGCCTCAAATCTGTCTTGTAAAGCCACTGAGATTTGAACTGTAATAGCACTCAAAATATTTATTAATATACTAAAACTCTTCTGTAGCACATTTGACAGAATGCTACTGTTCCCAAATACAGTTTAGCTCAGGTGTGGCTTTTCAATGTATCCAGCCTATTAGCTGCTTTCTCCCAAACCAGTAATGAGACCCAATTCCAGCCATTATTAGCATTCACATCCCATTTCCAAATCACAAACACTCAAATAACAGGAAACACTGGGAAATATGACAAGAACTGTAACAGTCACTTAGATTCCTTCTAGTCTGCATAACATTTCTGGTCATCTTCTGTAAAGCAAAATTTGGCCTTCCATGGCTTACAAACTCTGGCTCAGTACCTTTTAAAACCTCAGAGGTTCTAGACTCAAACTAATTTTGTTTCTTCGTATGGATGCTTCACACATGCTAGTAAGACTTGCCAAATTGTCACACATGGTTGTTGACACTGGGTCTGCCCAATCTATCTGAAAATCAGATACCACCAAATTACCATATATAATGGCCAACTTTCAATCTCATCAACATTAAACTACAACAAATACAGTTACTCCCATTCTGAAGCAGTATAAAATGAATTGCAGTCCTCATATGCACTGTAGTATTTGAATGCAAATGGATCAAAATTAATAGAACGTAAAAGTACCTTCTGTGTTTGCGCTTTGGATGCCAAAGATGTAACAAGGTAAATAGCTGCATCTTTGTGCTTCCAGTTAACAGATGGATTCTTTGCATATTCTTGCAGCATAGAATTAACATATCCAGAAAAAATCCCTGTCACAGGTCCTTCGAAAAATTTGCACAGACCTCTGACTAGATCACAAGCTGCTCTGCGCCTGGTGTCAATATCTGCATGAGAAACAAAGATTCTTTGGATATGAGAAAGTAAACAGCTTTTCATATTAATAAGCATAATAATAAAATAATCATATACAGCGTCTCAAGTTACAGCCACACCTCCTGTTAATTATTGCAATCCTCTGCACTGATGCGTAAGAACATATTTAAAATCTTTTACTTACTGTCATAATAGGGACTATTTGTACATCACGAAGAGGAACGGACACCCACCAATACTGCATGTGTATTCACAGGTTTTACTGCCCTCTCAAAGTTTCTGTAGAGCACGCAGGCTTTTTACTATCTTGACAATTATGCACTCAAATGTACTGAGTCTGGTTGGGATGGAGTTAATTCTCTGCACAGCAGCCCACACGGTGCTGTGTTTTGTACTGGTGACTAAACTGTTGGTAACACCCCTCCCAGTTTTAGCTGTTGCTGCAGAGCGCTTGCTTGGTGTCAAGGCTTTTGCTTCTTCCTTTCCAGCAAGTGGGCTGGGGGTGGGCAAGAAGCTGGGAGAGCAAACAACCTGTATAGCTGATCCAAACGGACCAAAGAGATATTCCGTGCTATGTAATGTCATGCTCAGCAACAGAAAAACTGAGAGGAGAGGGTTTCTGGGGAGGTAGCCATTGCTCAGGGACACGCTGGGCATCAGTTCACTTGTGGGAGGTGGAGAATCATTGACTTCCACCCCCCACCCCCCCTTCCCTTTTCTTCCTCTTTCTTTCATTTAAACCATCTTTATCTCTATCTAGGAATCTTCCTTTTACTCTTCCTATTCTCTCCCCCATCCCATTCCAGCTGGGTGGTGAGAAAGGAAGCTACTGTGTGGTGCTTATCTGCTGGCCCCCCATGCTGAATCAGTACATTTTTGCAAAAAAAAAAACAAAACCAAAAAAACCCACCACCTGTAAAAATTCCTTGTTTCAAGAAAGTAAAAAAACCCAAAACTAAACACTCAGCTGGCCTTTAATACAATACACATTTAAATGCAACAGAAGACACTTCTAAAGTAATCTCTGAAGAGCACAAATACTTCTTGCCTCAATTCTCTTAAAAGAAGAAGTAGCTAACAAATAAAAGCTTCACAAATACCTAAAATGTAGCCAATCCTGGACAAGAATGATAAAACATTTGCTTGAAAACAGTTCAAAAACATTTTCCTCTGATGTTGTCCTCCCGTGCAAGCGTACAGTAATTTCTTAAATCTATCATCAAGTGTCATTAATTCAAAAGTGTCAGTCAGTAAGCTGTTAGGGGCACAGAACAGCACATACAGATTTGTCACACAGATGTAATTTGGTTTATTTGTGCTCTGACCTGGCTAAAGACTAGACAGCTAGAGTCGGTAAATCAAGTAGCTCTGCTAGCGCAGCACTGTGTTTTCAGGACGGTTACTGTATTGGTTTGAAGGCAGTGCCAGCACACAAGGGCTGGCTGGTGTCCAGCTGGCTTGATCACAGATTTGTATGCAACACCAGTCAGAATTTCAGTTTAAACATGACAGACTACTAAATACAGGCTCAGTCCCTCCATATTATTTAAAACTCTACACATAGGAACTAAATACACAACTGGCTACTACTTAGCATTGACTTACAGGCTATATTTGCTGAAATGAGAATGTGTGCAGTGCAGGAGACATACCAATCCAATTAAGGAAAAAACCTTACAAAAACATCGTTCAAAACAAAGACACTGTGATGGACATATTGTGACAGTAGACTTGATCAAAAACTGGATAAAATCTCTTGGGAGGGGCAAGGGGGAACCCTCTGAATTTCAAAATAAGTTATAAAAGCTTCAGTAAATTGCTTCAGCTCTTTAGAGCTATATTTAAAGACCAAGTATTCTTAGTATAAATCTGTGGATTACCTGATCCTTCCAAATCCCTTCTTATATATTCTTCAGAATTATCTTCAAATGCTTCTTCATCAGCCGCTGAAAATATAATACACAGTAGTTTAAATACTGAGGTCTCTGTTTGTTATGGTAAGAAGGTGTATTACTATCAACTTGCTATTTTTGCAAAGTACTTTTCTATAATATCAATAGAAATTAATCAGAAATATCCAGCCAGACTACCCTATTTGGCTTGCTCCTGCCCCACAAATTTGTCTTTCATACTCATGAGATGATGTATTCCTGATTTTAAAAAAAATAGAAAGAAAAAAAAATAAGGCATATTCAATGCTAAGTGTATTTAAAGAGGCTTCTAGAGTCAGAGCCTTAATAGAGAAAAGCTTCTTATCACTGCACTACATCTTCATTGCATTTTAGATACTAGGATAAATAGGAGCCCAACAAAACTTAGAGAAACAGACATTACAATTTAGTAGGCCTGATATCCATGCCTATTTAGGCTCCTTGAATTATTCTGATACTCACCTTAAGCATGAAAAGCTATTGGTGGCGCATGACCTAGACTTCCTATACTTTTCAATTTGAGACCCCAGTAAGACAGAAAAATTATTAGATATAGTCATACAACTCTACAAAGCCCACAGGACAGCAATCTGTTGCAGAAACTTGGTTTTGAATCTAGCACTAAAGTACACAAGAGTTAATCCTCAATTCTTAGTCCTCCAAAGCCACCAATCGTTGTAATTACAGTTAAGATTTTACTGTGTCTTTGAAAACATAAGTCTCAAAAAGTTACCTCTAAATTCCATATTGGGAACAATAACTTTCTCACAGATGCTTGTCAATGTATTCTGGTCTTCAAACAGATGCTTGTAATGTGGTCTCTCACAAACTGAGGCCAGAAACTGGATGGCATTACTAACCAGCTAGAACAGCACAAACAGGACACATACAGTTTTAGCATGACCGACCAATTTATAGTTCCTTATTAAACTTGACAAGATCAGTTTGTAACAACTTACCAAGTCATATTTCACCTCCTGGCCTGTTGTGACCAATAGATTCCAGATTGCTGTTACAAAACGTGGCAGGTAGGGCTGGAATTCTTCATCATATTTTTGAGCATACAAAGCTGCATTATCACAAATTTGTGATTTCAAGAGCTCCAGTAATCCAGCTTCCTCTTCATCCTCACATAAAACAAAACTAAGAACTTAAACATCCGAACTTCAACACTACTGAAATATTAAAAGTATCAACCTATTTTAAGGAAATACTTACACTATTATTTTACCATGTTCTAAATAGGTGAAAGAAATCCCTCTCACGTCCCTAGAATTACTGGATTTTGCTGACTTGTACTGGAACTGCACTGCAAATTATAAATCATACCTACATTTCTAATGAAAGTACTATGCACTCTAAATCATTTAGACGTGATAAAGTTTGACATGAAATTAATTTACAAATGTAATAGGATAAAGACAACCCAAGGCACTGAAAAAAAATATGCTTTGAAGACATTCTATTTTGCTACTTTAAATTAGAATAGCTGTAAAAGTAGTTCCCTGCGGTTCCCCATACCTGCATGGATACTTGTGGAACCACAAAGCAAAGTGAATTGCGAAACTGAACTGGAATTATTAA